CACTGCACAGTCACTCCACAACTTGTTCTATGCTTACATCACATCCTCTGGTATCCTACAAGCTACTTTGAGGTCAGAGATCAAGCTTCATACTAGTCTGGACACTACATCAGCCACTACAGTGTCTCCTACGAAATAAGCAGGCATTCAAAAATGTACTGATGATCTCTGCAAAGGCTGGACAAGCAACATAAATGCGTGAAGTGGGCCTCAGGGCCTGCCATGTAATATAGAGTGGTGGATACTGCAGCAAACTGGAGAATCTGTGCCCCATAGAAAGAGCAGTTGCTATTCAGCTCAATCCAGTAATTGCCAAGCAAGAATTTAGGTCTAATGCTGACATATTTTCTAATTTGAATTTTTCAAGAGAGAACTAGAAATTTGGATTTTTATAGGAATTCACCTAATTTTTTAAATGTTGGCTAAGAAAAATCTTTAAACACTTTGTAAGCAAAAGGAGACCCATCTGGGAGATTAATTTCTCCTGTAGGTCAGGAGTTCCTGACCCCCAGGCCATGGACGGCTCTGGTAGGTGGCTTGTTAGAAATCGGGCCCCAGAGCAGGAGGTCAGTGGCAGGCACAAGTAAAGCTTCATCTGTATTTGCAGCCACTCCCCTCACTCGCCTCACCACCTGAGCTCTGCCACCTGTTAGATCAGCAGCGGCATCAGATTCTCACAGTAGTGTGAACCCTATCATGAACTGCACATGCAAGGGATCTAGGCTGCACACTCCTTATGAGAATCTAATACCTGATGATCTGTCACTGTTTCCCATCACCCCTGGATGGAACCATCTAGTCGCAGGAAAACAAGCTCAGAGCTCCCACTGAGTCTACATTATGGTACGTTGTATAATTATTTTGTTATATATTACAATGTAATAATAATAGAAATAAAGTACACAATAAATGTAACATGTTTAAATCATCCCGAACCCATCCCTCTCCCTGGGTCCGTGGAAGAACTGTCTTCCATGAAACCAGTCCCTGATGCCAAAATGGTTGGGGACCGCTGCTGTAGGCCACCAGTTTTCAGCCTCGTGATACACAATGGTGGTCGTCTTCTGTGTCTCTGGTCCCTCTGCCTCCTTCCCTAGTTCCTCTTCCTCCTCCTGCCCCTCACTTATGGAAATAGACTTTCTGGATATTCCTTGGATGCGCTCTCTCCCTCTCCTCTGAACCACCACAGCACTTTACTTATAGCCTTCTATGAGCCTGGGCATGGTGGCTCACGCCTGTAATCCCGGCATTTTGGGAGGTTGAGGCAGGTGAATCTCTTGAGGCCAGGAGTTCAAGACCAGCCTAGGCAACACAGTGAGACCACATCTCTACAAAAAATAAAAAAAAAAAATAGCTGGTGTGATGGCGTGCACCTGTAGTTCCAGCTTCTGGGGAGGGTGAGGTTGGAGGATCACTTGGGCCCAGGAGGTGAAGGCTGCAGCAAGCCACGATTGCACCACTGTACTTCCAGTCTGGGTGACAGAGCGAGACCTTGTCTCTTGAAGAAAAAAAAGCTTTCTATGGCATTTGCCTGTGCTGTCTTGTCCACAGTTTTTTACATATACTCAATACCTCCCGTAAGGAAATACATTCTTTATGTCACTTATAATAATATAATTCGCTGAGTTCTGTGTCACTATGCTAAACACTTTATGTATATTAACTCAGCTACTCTTTACAAGAACCCTAAAGAATATTACTATTATCTTATAAATAAGGAAAATGAGGTTTAGAGAGCTTCTAATTAGTGCCCAAGTCCACAGAACTAGTAAATGTTAGAGCCAAATTTGAGGTGAGACTTTTTTTTTAATTATACTTTAAGTTCTAGGGTACAGGTGCACAACGTGCAGGTTTGTTACATATGTATACATGTGCAGATAATTTCCATCTTTTTTTTTCTTTTTCTTTTTCTTTTTTTTTTTTGAGATGGAGTCTCGCTCTGTCACTCAGGCTGGAGTGCAGTGGCGCGATCTCGGCTCACTGCAAGCTCCGCCTCCCAGGTTCACGGCATTCTCCTGCCTCAGCCTCCCGAGTACCTGGAACTATAGGTGCCCGCCGCCACACCTGGCTAATTTTGTTGTATTTTTAGTAGAGACGGGGTTTAAACGTGTTAGCCAGGATGGTCTCGATCTCCTGACCTCGTGATTCGCCCACCTCGGCCTCCCAAAGTGCTGGGATTACAGGCGTGAGCCACTGCGCCCAGGCTGAAGTGAGACTTTCTGATTCCAAAGTATTTTATTTGCCTGATTCACCTTTAAGTTCTCTACAATTTCTTATATCCAGGAGCACTCAGTATGTGTTGAATCCATTGTTCAAAAACAGAAATTTATATTCCACTTAAAAGAAATTCTTAAGGAGGACATAGAAAAATTACTGGTGAGTTAATGGTTTGCAGAAGAGTTACAGTGAATATGAACTATGAATATTTGTGGATTAGCAATTGATTGGAACTCATTCATCAACTACACAGATACACAGGGTTTATTCAAGATACAGTGTATTTATACAAAAAGTAGTCCAATCCAAAAATAATATCACTAAAATACTTTGCCATGTTAGCATTTTTGCTTTGAAAATTCAATGTACAATGCTGGTTTTAGTTAGACATGAAGAAATGCCAAAGGGAAATTGAACAAAAGCTCAAAAGATATTCTTTTTTCTTTTACATGCAAAAAGCATAAATTATTTCTTTTTAACAACTACATTTTTGTTTCTACATCCAATGGGAGTACCAAAATGTTGTTTTCCCTTTTCTTTCCAAATATATGTTGTTTCACATAAAAACACATAATCTCAGTATGTAACAAAAATGTAATGTACTGGTTTTCTCTTTCATTATTTTTAAAATATCTTATCTGAACCATAAATGTGAACTCTGAAAATGTGATTTTGTTGATGATGAGAAAATGGGACCATATTCATGCTTTTTATTTGAAATCCTAATGGCCCAACAAAGCTCTGAATTCTCTGTCTCTTTCAAGAAGAGGAGGAAACAAGGGTCACCAAGTCATTCCCGTGCTATATTTTTGCCAAAAATGCACCTTTTGAATGGCTCTATCAGTGCCTTGGACTTCACAGACTTCACTTCATTTGACAGTCATGAAAAAGACATTTTCTATATTTAAGACCATAGTTCAGCTCTGAGATTTCAGCTACCCTTGAAATCTAACAACAACAACAAAAATGAACTGAAACATGAAAAGAACAAAGAGTATCTCTGAAACATTTTATTATTCTATGTAGGGTTCCTCCTTTTTGAAAAACAGAATTCAGTAACATAAATAAACTAGCCTAACTCATGTCAAAGTCCTAAGATATGGTTAGGCACGGTGGCTCACGCCTGTAGTCCCAGCACTTTGGGAGGCCAAGGCGGGTGTCACGAGGTCAGGAGACAGAGACCATCCTAACAAACATGGTGAAACCCTATCTCTACTAAAAATACAAAACTTAGCCGGGCATGGTGGCAGGCGCCTGTAGTCCCAGCTACTCGGGAGGCTGAGGCAGGAGAATCGCTTGAACCCGGGACGTGGAGGTTGCAGTGAGCTGAGATTGTGCCACTGCACTCCAGCCTGGTGACAGAGTGAGACTCTGTCTTAAAATAAAATAAAATAAAATAAAATAAAATAAAATAAAATAAAATAAAAAACAAAGTCCTGGGATACATTCAAGTGAGGACAAAGATTCCAATTATCTCTCTTTTCCAAGAATTTTCATCCCACTGCAGAATTTCAAATCGATAGTGGGAACAACAGCACCAATACCGCAGTTTAAAGGATCAGAAGCAGCTGTTCTGTCCTTTAGAAATACAACCAGTTACAAAACTGTTTCCTTGGAACACCTTCCTACTGCTCCTTTCCCCTCAGGTTGCTTCAACTGGCATGAAGCTAGATCCCTAACCTTCAACTGACAGCTTAGAGAAGGTGCTTACTATAAATCAGAAGGATTACCTATAGGCCACTGATATTTAAATTTTTGGATGTTCCACGAAGATCACAGCCATCTAAGATTGTAGAGAAAATGATCTGGTGAAAACTTTCACAAAGCTGCTACAGGGTTATTAATCTCTTACGCAATCAGAAATTTTCTCCTCAGTCTACCACCCAAACCAAACCAGATTCCATGAAGTACTAAAATATAGGGGTGGGGGAGAAATTTACTTTTCTGATATGCCACACCTTCTACCAGATTTTTTTTTTTTTTTTTTTTTTTTTGACAGGGAATCTCGTTGTGTTGCCCAGGCTGGAGCACAGTGGCACAATCTCAACTCACTGCAACCTCCCGCCTCCCGGGTTCAAGTGATTCTCCTGCCTCAGTCTCTCGAGTAGCTGGGAGTACAGGCATGCACCACCACACCCAGCTAATTTTTGTATTTTTAGTAGAGATGGGGTTTCATCATGTTGCATGTTGGCCAGGCTGGTCTTGAACTCCTGACCTCAAGTGATCCACCCACCTTGGCCTCCCAAAGCGCTGGGATTACAGGCGTGAGCCACCACATCTGCTTTGTAAAAGAATATTTGAGGGAACTACTGAGAGAAGAAACAATTCATTTCAAATCTCTCATAGGAGAGAAGTCAATATAATGAGCTTCACTGCTTGATGTTAAATTAAAGGAGCGAAAAGAATGTGGCAGAGTAAAGGGCCAGTGGCTGCCAGTGCTAACACCTAGTGCCACAGGAATAAAGAAAAATAAGGTTCTCAAAGGACTCATGAGTGCCATATCAGCTTTCTTCCCTCCCCTCACTCTTGATCATGATCGAGATTTAGCTTAAATCATACAGATACAATAATATTAAAATAAGTATTTCCTCAGTGACCCCATCCCAGAAAATTACCCAAATGAAAGAAAAGTGAGTAGAAAGTGGAAGTAATCGAAGGAATATACACACTGTTAGGAAACTATGATCACTGGAAAAAGCAACTGGTTAACAACCAGATTGTAAAATTATATGAACTAGCTTTAGCACACGTTAACTTGAACAGTCTACGGGTTCTTCAAATACCTGATTATTCTGATTTTCAAGTCTTGGAGAAAAGCTGGAAATTGCTGGGGAGGCTGCAGAGAGTTCCTGGAGTTTTATATCAATTTCAGCAAGCTGCCGATGCTGGGTGACTGCCAGTGCATATCCTTTTACTGGGACCACCCAGCCAGACTGATCACCCTAAGAGGAAACAAGGGTCACAGGTCATTCCCAGGCTATATTTTTGCCAAAATATACCTTTCAGGTGGCTACAACAATGCCCAGGACTTCACACAAACACACACACACA